TCAGGCCCGTCGTGAGTCTTATCAGGCAAAAGCAGCAGCAGAAGAGCCCTCTGCCTCTGTCTCTGACTCTGCCTCTGCCTCTGACTCAGCCCCGGGCCTCCCCCTGCCCACACCACCTCCCCCCGGCCCATCCCCCAGCTCCACACCACCTCCCCCGGCCCCCCATTTCCTCATCTTCTCCCGGCCCCCCACTCGCCTCGCCCGGCACTCACCTCCCGTCCGGCCCCGGCCCCGGCCCCGGCCCCGGCTCCGGCCCGGGGGTGTCGGCCGAAGGCCCCGCGCTGCTCTCCGTGCTCAGCCTAGAGGCCCGGCGGCTTCGCCTCCGCAGCCGGGGCTGCTTCTGGGCCGCCAGCTCGGGCTCCATGGCACGGAGGCGGAGGTGGGGCGGTGGCCGAGTGCCCAGGAGACCGGCAGGGACGGGCACGGTGCCCGCCAGCCCCTGCCAGGCAGAAAGCGCCTGTCAGCGGCGATCAGCCGCCGCCGTCATCCGGGGATTTGAAAATGGCGGCTGCGCAGCGATTAGCCAATCAGAGAGCGGGTAGCCGTTGCTTGGACACACGGAGTCCCGCCCCTCCGCCCGGGTCACAGCCACTGAGCACCTGAAAGACCCGGGAACTGTAGCGCAGGTGGACTGGAGCCTGGAAGCCTGGAGTCGGGAAGATTGGCTTTAATTCTGACTTCATCTCTGCACACGCACTTTCACGGTTTATGATTATGAGGACTTTCATACAGGCGAAGGAAGATGGACTGAAAGCATTTTTGGTCCCTAGATCTTTCTTAGCATTTGGGAAGGAGAGAGGGTGATAGAATGACCTAAAATGAGCCTTGGTGATTGGCCGTATGCTCCCCAAATCATCATGTGTATATGGCCGATATGAGATATACTGCTAAGTCAAAGATTATGGAAGTGTGTTCTCCGTGAAGTCTAATGACCAGGCTTCCTGTCTTCCCAACAAGGAAGATACAGTCTCTTCTTTGCAAAATAGGATTTAGGGGACAGGGCAGGGGGGCCCAGTGGTGGGCGAGGCTGAAGCAATGTGGAAGGGACTTGAGCACTTAGAACAGTAGTTGTTCGTCAACTGGTGTGAAAGTGAGTTAATTTTTTTTTAATAACCAGTAAAGTAGGGTGACCAGATTTTAACGTTTGTAAAGCGGGACAACATGGCGGGGGGCGGGGCGGGGGCGGTGCAGGGCAGGGCCTGACAACAATGCAAACTTTGATAAGCAGTTCTCGATAATCACTTCTCAACAATTATTTGTTATTATTACAGTTTAACATTATAAAATTAACAAAAATAATATAAAACTCATACCCTGGCGAAATAGCCACATGGCAGCCAAAAACCGTATATTCCCTTCCTGTTCTCCCACCCGTTCGTGTATTCTTTCCAAAAATTGGGACTTTTTTAAAACGTGGGAAGCGGGACTGTCCCGCCAAAAGCAGGACCTCTGGTCACCCTACAGTAAAGTCACATGCACACAGCTGTGCGTGTACCAGCTGTACATGACTTGGATTTTACAGGACAGAAGCTGGGGCTGTGCAGTCCTTTTTTTTTCTGTCCTCCCCAACCAGCTGATTCACTGCTCCCTGTCTTGGATACCTGAGTTCTTTCATCCAGACCCCAGTTTTGCAGAAGAATCAGAATTAGAAGAATGAAAAAGCACACCATCAATAATTAGGGATATTCAAATCAGAACCATGTGCAGAGGGATTGTAATGAATGTTAATGGGGTCATTGCTGTATAGTGCGCATGCACAAGATTGATTATATAAACCCACAGTAAATAAAGAAAGTTGGCCATTTTGCCTGAGCAAGCAGATGGTCACCTTTATTTAAAATACAATTTCAATAAGTGTGCTTATTCTTCGAGACATGGCTTTTCCATGAGACCCTAACAGCAACACCCTTATGGCAACACATGTTAAAAAAAAAAGGTTTAAGAAAGAAAATCGTTAATGGTTAGATTTGTGTGTCTGCTGGTGCTGTTAATCATCCTATATCTGACTGGGTGAGGCCCACTCACGTCCCTGAGTGTGCTCTCCTCTACCCAAAGGCAAAACGGACTGACTGTAGATGTTTAAGACGCTTTCACAGCAACCCTAGATTAGTGTTAGGCTGAACAACTGGGCACTGTCACTGACCAAGCTGACACCTAAAATAACCGTCACACCAGAGAGTCTCTTTAGTCTTGAAATTCCAGTTATTATTACTTAAGAAAACTTTTTTCCTTTAAAGAAGTAGTTTATCAGGGAGGTGCCTGTGGCTCAGGGAGGGGGGTGCTGGCCCCATATACCGGAAGGTGGCGGGTT